GACATTGGTCTCTTTTCAGCCAGATCATGTGACTCCGTCAGAATTTGTTTACCCTCTGTGGCATGCACAGAATCCAATGCAGATGCATCGGCAAGTTGTGGTTTATTTGCTTTAGGGGATTCTGCCTTAAATTCAATAAATGATGGAAAACGCTCAACTTCTTTCGGGATAAAAGTAGTTGACAGAGCTTGGGTTTCAACTCCCAGTTGTTCTAAATCAGGTGAATGAGGTAGAGCCACTAATGAATCAGTGCTTGCCATTTGTGACTGCAGTGACACAGGTATAAACTTCTTGGCTTCTGGAGCTTCTTGTGTTTCTTGAATAGTAGACCTGACTTTGCCTTTCTCTTTAATACTTCCTTCGGCTATTTTGGAGTTTACTGAAATGTCAAACTTTTCACATACCACCGATCCTTCTTCTTTTAAGTTGGAATCTTCTACTACATACTTCAATGATTTCTCAATCTCTGTTCGTGCTGCTTGAACATCTGTATTGAATCGATCTTGGATGTCCATCTTCACAACACCAGTCAAGTCTCCCTCTTTTATGTTAATGTCCTCTAGAACGTGGCCCATTGACTCTTCTTCTCTTTCAATCTTTCCTTGTAATTTCTGGAAAGCATCTCCTTTCAACTGCACTGCTACATCTAAAGTCGAATCAAAATGAGCCACCCTGTCAGATGACTGCAGAACATCCAGATCACATTCTCTCCTTGTGTCTCTTACATAAGAAAACTCAGAAATAGTTTCCACCAGCCTTACTTCTTCCTCAAATGTTGACTGTGATGCGTCTGCAACATCAGCCGCATGAAACGATTCTGTAATTCCAAAAGTCACAGCGTCACCTGATTTTCCTGCTTCCACAACGGAATCACCAACTACATGAATCTCTGATCTGTCCGCCCTTCCAGTTTCGGTTCTCGTTTCTTGATTGTATGCATCGGATTGTCCTGCGAAGCCTATTGTAACATCCTCATTTGCTGCTTTTTTCAAATCAACATCCTCTTGGACATATTCAGTTCTAGTTCCTGTATACTTAAATACTCCAATCTTCGGGGTCTCTCCAACATAGTGGGGGTCGTATATGGGAGAAATTAACTTTCCAAGTGCAGCATCATAAGCAAGTGTATAAACTGGTATCTGGATTGTCTTTGGAGTTTGTTTCATAGCAGACTCTGTACTTTCCGAAACCTGTAAATGAGCTGAGATAGATTTTTCTACATTTTCAACATTTGGAAGCTCTGATTTGAGCAGTAATGATTGGGCACTAACTAAATGAGTAGGTTCTATTACGGACTTGACTACTGACAAATCATCTGTTTGATCATTTGCAGGAACAAAGAAGTGCTCCATTGTTTTCTCTTGTGATGGTTTCATTTCAACACAAATCTGTGATAGAGGCATATCCACAAGAGAAAAATCTGAAACTATGGACAAGTTTTCATCTTGTGTTTTTAAGTCTGCAATTTCTTCAATAGTTGGTTTAGAAACAGGAATTGGTGAGTCTGGTGAAGGTGGCCTTATTATGTCACTAGAATCTAGTCTACTAACAGACTCACTCCACATCTCCACTTCAGAATCTACAGATTCAACAGATGAACAGCGGTCTAATCTAGTACTAATGAATGGTTCTGGCAAAGATGGTTTAAAATCCGGAACAGGTGAATCAGGTGATAGTGCTCTGTGTATGTCCATGAATAAGATAGAGTCCGGTGACGCCGGCCTTTCCTGGGAGTCAAACAAAATGTTTTCATCAGTCTCCAGTTCTGTATTGGATACTGCTGATTCAGTTGAAATTGACCTATGATAAATGGGTGATTGTTCAGTGAAAGAGAACTGAGGGACAGGCGAATCTGCCGGGCTGTTTATAGATCTGTCAGAGTACGGCGAGTTAGGCCTGAATGACTCCAGGTTGATTAGTGATTTGGGTGACATAGGTCTATATTCTGCCTCAGAATCAGGTGAAAGTGCTCTTTGGTCATTCTCTGATTGCACGGCGGCTGTTCTATTTCCAGTTTGTTGATCTGAATGTGATTGATAAGCCTCTATTTTAGCCTTTGTAATTTTTCCGATGTAATGTGGGTCATAGATGTGTGAAATAAGCTTCCAAACATCCGCATCATAGGAAACACTATAGACTGGCGTGGAATCCTCTGTTGAAGGGAATTGTTCCTGTGTATGATGCTGAGATAAAGAAATGGAAGAATGTTCAGGTGTTTCCTGATCTTCAGGTGCACTCACAGTGAATGACAAGGGTAGATTATCAGATGGAGTCTCGGGTTGAATTTGACAACATACTTGTGTTTTTACAAGTTTCACATTTGTTAACTTGTACTCTTCTATTTGGTATTCTGTGATACTCTGTCCAAACTCGTTATCACCTTTAGATAGAACTAGATGTTCTAACGTGTCGCTTGTAGATAATTGTCTCTCCTCAGTCAAGGGTATTTGGGCTTCTTCTGATTTTCCTTCAAGCAACTGGCACGATCTGTCTGTAATTGCATCAGCTGAAAGGCACTCAGTATTTGTTTTTGTTAAAACCTCTGATTCACTTACATTTGAATTTTCTTTAAACTGCTGTTCTGAAAATTGATCTTTTGAATTTACTGCTGCAAGAGTTGGTGTTATCTTAATATCTTCCAATGAAGACACAGGGTTTGATAATGGCTCATAAAAACTCTGCTCCCCTGAATGTGATTGGGTGGTTAGGTATTCTGAACCAGCCAAATCTTTGGCAGTTTCCAAATCAGGGGATGGTGGTCTAATGTCTAAGGTTACAGACTGTGGAAAATTTGAACTGTTCTCTGAGACCGGCACAGAATACACAGGCCCTTCGTCAATATCTGACAAACCAATGATAACCCAATCGTTGTCTGATTCTGATGATTCCATTAGTGTTTGGGATTTTGGTTCATGGTCAACACAGACAAAGTCATGCGATGGTTTTGATGGTTCCACCAGTATTTGTGATATTGTCCTAAGATCCAGATCTGATGTTTCAGGTGATTTTGGTTCATGGTCCTCAAAGATAGATTTATGTGATGGTTCTAATGGTTCTTCCAGAGTTTGTAATGTCTTGATATCCAGCTCTGATGGTTCAGGTGGTTTTGGTTTATAGTCAGCACAGATGGTATCATGTGATAGATTTGATGACTCAGTTGATTCTGGGGAAGGTGTCCTATGTTCAGTGGTCGATTTGTCACTGAATGTAACTGATGCGGGTGATGAAGGTCTGTTCTCGTAATTAAATGATACTGGAGAAGATGGGCTGTTTTCTGCTTCTGAATGTAACATTTCAGATGAACTGGCTCTCCCTCCTAACGTTACATAATCTGTTTCGAGCAGATTTATATTGAACTCTGGTAAAGGTGAATCAGGTGGCAAAGGTTGTGATTCATTTACGGATGCTAAAGACACTGGGGATGACGGCCTGCTCTCAATAGGCGTTGTTGACAAAAAGTTGTCTGTATCTGAAGATTCGGATACAGGTGAAGACGACCTACAAGCTGTAAAAGGTTCGGAAACAACATGTCCAAATTGTGGTATAGGAGAGGCCGGTGGGAGCTGAGTATGTGCAGTGACTGATCCTAAGGATTCTGGAGATGATGCTCTCATGTCATTGAAGTCAGGAGACACTGTTATTTTTTCAGTTGATGCAAAATGACCTTGCTCGGTTTCTAAAACAAAACACTCAGGGGAGGTTCTATCGTCTATGTCAAAACTTAGAGACTTTGGTGAGTTTGATCTCTCACTGCTGTAATCACTCACAAATGATAATGGCTTTCCAAATGGCCTTTTGTTTGAAACCATTGGCGTTAATGGCCTTTCCTCTGCTTCTGATGTCATGAGTGCTGCATTGCCCTCTGTTGCAAACAGCAGTGATTTCCCTTGAGCCAATGCCAATTCATCACTAGCTTCCCATGGAGAAACAGTCGGTGGAAGGGGAGACAATGGCCTAAACTGAGGGATTGGAGAGTCAGGTACAAGAAAACCTAGCTCATGGACTGGCATTTCAGATTCAGGGGATGAGCTCCTGCTATCTGTCAGTAAAACTGTCATATCGGTCATGTACTCGGATGTGGATGATCTATGATGTACTAGATCTCCATTGTTTTCATAGATGGATTCTAGTGAAGAAGATTTCGATGCCTCTGCCTCATGTGTAGTCCCAGTGGAGAATATGGGTGCATTATTAGGATCAGTTGGCACCAACAAAAAGGTTTCTTCAAAAGAGGATTCATGGGGAAACTGACTAATGACATTTGAGTTTGTGGATTTGAGATTAGTTGTATCTTGAATGTCAAGCTCTCTTGAAATTGTTGCTTCAACAACAACCTCATGCTCAGTGTTGGAAATTAACTCTTGGGTCTTCGTGTGCTTTGGCCCTTCAGCTTCTTCTTCACTGACTTGTTCACAAGCCTCATCAATCAGTTCAACATCATACCCGTACAGGACTTCGTACAGTCGTCGAGAAACACTATCCATGTGTCCTGCTGCTGTTTGTTGTGGTTGCATTTCTCCCATAGTTACAGATACAGACGACTGAGCACATGAAGCACCATGTTCTTTTACCGATCCTTGTCTTAACGGCAGCTTTTCGGAAACCTCACTGGTTTCTGTAAGCTCTACAGACAGTCTTTTGAAGTCTTGCTCAGCAGAATCGCATTCAGTTAAGCTCTCTCCAAAATCAGTCATAGACAAGGGTCGACTTTCGCAGACACCTGTACTTGAGCTTGTGGATGACTCTCGCCAGCCCGCAAGTGACAAAAAATGACTGTGAGAGCCAGCGGGAGAAGTCTGTAGACACTCCAAACTCCAGTCTTCTCCCCCCTGTGCCCCCTCATATCCAGCAGCCCCTATATCCTCACAAGGTTCAACAGTGGGGTAAGGAGGTGGGTAATCACTGGCACCCAGCTTGGGTCCACCTTTGTACACAGGGTCTATCACATGAGATCGTAGGTTGTAGGGAGAGGTACGGTACAATGTGAAGAAAGGACTTACTTGTCTGTAACTGCCTGTGTGTACTGAATCTGCCATTTCTTCATATATTCTTTCGGATGAACTACAAAACAACATTTCAATAATTAGTCACTGTGGCTGTTACTTGTATTTGATACTATAAAATATAGTATAACCAGTTACTTGGTATTATTTCATAAAGCACTTGATACCAGGCAGATATAGTTTCTTATAGCAGTCAGTCAAATACTTACTATGTTGTCTCAACTTCATTTGATACTTTCTCCGTCAGATTTCTAAGAAGGCTAGTGGCTGAAGAGTCCATTTCTGATCTTGCTGTAGTTTCTTGAAGTGAGGACAAACTGCAGGACAAGTCCTCCGCTGCAACCATTGGTACCTCTCGTCCTGAACTTGGACTTTTGCGTGTCGTTTCTATGCGTCTGCTCTGCCTCGGACTGTCAAAGTCTTCATGTAGTGCAGAGAACCCTGACAAGGAATATACAGTTGTTCGACTTTGCTGTATGCAAGACTAGTTTCACACTTCTCAAAAACTAAAAGCATAATGCTGCATTTAAGTACTGTTAATTCAACCCGTTTATATTATCAACATTGACTAATGTACCTTCACTATGGTCCAGTGCTATGGTCCTCTCAATTTCTGCATAGGTATGTGATGTTGTCTCCTCCTGAGTGGACTTGATTATTTTGGTTTCAATGAGGTGAACGATGTCCATGCGGTTGATCTTTGTCAGTCTCTTCATCAGAGTTGTCTCTGTTCACAAACAAAGGATTCAGAAATGTGTTTAAACCGAAATATGTCTTGAACAAGGAATACTTAACCAGGAATTACCAACCTGTGGCATCCTTTCCCTCCTTCTCTGCCCATAGTTTCAACAGAGCGTAACTTTGGTCTTGTAGTGAGTTGGGGTTTTCAACCCTTATCAGGTTAATTCTGTCCTCACTGAAATCCAGTTCTCGTGCCAACTCTAGAAAGTGAAGGATGGTGCATTACTAAGTGTAAATTTCAATTAAAAAAAAAACATAAAAAATATTTTGTGTTGAGAAGACTGATCAGAAACGTATTATTTGTATTAATGATACATTTAGATACAGGTAGGTATCTAATTGTAGGTAGGTTAGGTACATTTTTCTAGACAATTTTGTTAATGACTAACAAACAGCGCAAGCATTTGGCAATTTATTTACAACTATTTCTGTGTGACTCACCCGTCCAGCTGAAGCCCAAGTGGTCAGCTATAATGGCCAACCGTTGCTCCTTTCTCTCTGCCTCATCCTGTGGGTCTACTGCAAATACCACCAGACAGCCATGAGCGGTCGGAGCCGCAGGATACAATAACTTATGACAAATTAACATACAGTATGTGCAATTATCTTCACTGGCTTTCTTGTTTTCTACTGTAGCAGCATAATCTCACCAAAATAGGAATAGTTTTCAAAGAACTAGCATCTTAACACAACTTCAGTCAAAATATGCATGAAACGTTCCAGAACTAAATCTAGAAAACGCATTAGTTTTAATGATGGCTGACGCATTACAAAATATAAATATTTTACTTGCTAACTTGCATGGAGCCTTTAAGTCAATCTTGAGATTTTCTACACACAAAGAAGGGAAGAGACGTTACAAACGAAAACACAGCAGGAGACAAAGCAACAACTACAAAAGACAGGCAGCAACTTTACAGTTAGTGTACTATTGTGGTACAACAAATAGAGAATAGCCCCTTTTACTGGGGGATACCTTGACTTTGGACTTTATCATCTGGAATTCGCTGCATCTGTGTTTCAACAGGGTCATCCCACTGAGGTCTAATCGGAAAGATGTCTCCTGTGGGAGGAAACTGCATCTCCAAGAAATGTTCTTTTTCCATAATTAAAGGGTCAATGAGACTGCTCTCATCATCTGAGTTCGCCGCTGCAGCCTCTTGTTCATTTTCCTTTTCTGCCTGTGCCAACCTTGCCACAACTTTAGCTGCCTCATTGCTTATTTCCTCAACAAACTCAAGAGACTTTTTGCGTGTCTCAGGTTTCTCCTTAGTGGATGCTGAGGAATGAGACGCCTGTGCATTTTTTCCTCGGACTGGCAGCCTGGAGTAGAAGCCTTTCGATTTTGCTGACTCAACACTCAATGGACGGCCTTGTTCTTTTTTAGCAGTAGGCCTGCTGGATTCGCCCTCACAGAAGCTCTTGGCTTTGGAAGAAGGTATCTTGGTTTTGACGTCCACAGAGGGACCTGCATCTGTCTCAGATTTTCTCCTCGTACCTTTTTTGGCAGGAACCTTCAGCTTTTTATCTTGAGTAGTTTCAACACGTCTGACAGCAGAATCAGCCTTAGGAGTGCTGGCCTTGATGGGAATTCTAGATTTTGAGTCAGATGTAAAGGAAGGCTCTTTTTTAAGACTGGATGAAGAAGAGGTTGCAGAAGAGGGGGATTGGACTGTGGATTTTGCCCTATTTTGATTTACTGATTTGGCTTGTGTTTTGCCTGGAGCCTTTTTTACACTGCTTGTACTTTGTTTTGGTTTTTCTGTTGGTTTGGGAGTTTCTACTACAGACTGTGGCTCTTCTGGAGAGGAGTCAGAAGACTCCTGTCCTTGCTCAGAGTAAATGGGTCTAGTAACTGTAGTTTCTGCTGTCTGTACTGTAATCATCTGTTCACAGATACTTGTGTCTACTTCGAGTGAAACTTTATTTACAGTTTCAGTTTTATTGTCTACAATTTCTTTAGATGTCTGCTCTTTCACTGTAGCTGAAATTCCCATTTTAGGGATTTTAGATTTTCCTACATCAAGTTTGGTGCCTGTGTCATCACAGTCAGGAAGAGACTCAATTTGAGAATCGCTCTCATCTTTTGATTTTTCATTTTCCTCAGTCTTAATCTCTAGTGTAAGATTTAGGCCAACTTCAGGTTCTGCTGCTGATCTCTTACCTTCTTCCCTTGTCTCAAACAAGAGCGGCTCTTCTAAAGGTTGCTCACCAAACCGAAAAAATGCAAAACCACCCCCCTCTTCCTCATAACTTCTTTTAGTCATGTCAATGGCACCACTACGGGTCATTTCAAAGAGCTTTCCTTCTTGGAACAGAAAAGGGTTGGGCTCACTGGTAGGAGTGCTCTCTTCTGTTGGTGTTCTACCAGGTGTTGTATCTGGAGAGTCCTGTCGAGACTGACGGCCTACCACTAGGTTCAGTATTTTCTGTTCCTCCTCGAGGACACGAGCTGCAAAATTGGCATCATCCTCCCGCAAGGAACACCATGGATCATCTGCCTTTGCAGTAACACCTTTTGACTCAGTTTTGGGGTGACCAGGTGTCTCACCATCTTCCTCCGTGTCATCGTAGATATTAACCTCTGATTTGCACATTCCCTTTGACTGGTTTGAAACAAGTTTAGCTTCTGCCTCTACTGTTTGATCCTTGGGATGGTCATTTACTTCATTTGTTACCTCTCCGATCAGTCTCATTGTACAATCCTCTTTTTTCCAACGACTCTCGTTTTCAGTAGCTGATGCATCGTGAGTAATGATGTTGCTAGACTCTCTATTAGATTTGATAGATGATGGAAGTCTCTGGTCCAGAGAGGTCTCCAGCTGTATTTCAGAAAGGGGCTTGTCTGAGACAGAGTGAGGTCCCTCTAAAACGACATTGGCTGCCATTGTCTTGATCTCTTTGTTGGGGGTTCCTTCATGCAAACCTGCTGAAAAAGGAGAGGGAGGTTGTACTTTAATATGGGGATCAGTAAAAAGAGTTATCTGTGATTCCTCTGTGGCTTTGTTATGCCCACAATCACTCTGTGATCGCCTTTCAGTTGTGGGTTGTGATGTTTTATTAGTTTCATCTCCTATTTTGGTATCTGTTGAGGCCAATAGATCTTTTCTAGAGTTCTTTTTGCTCTTTTCTTCTTCTTCCATTTCATCAAATGTTTTTATTTTGGCTGCCATCTTAAACATTTCCTCGTCTGGGGTAATTTTTCTCTTAGCTTCATGGCTCTCTGATGTGTCCTCTTCTTCTGCATCTTCAAGGATGGCGTATGGTTTGGATGTAATAGAAAGAAAGGTCTGATCAGGGTGTCTAGGGTTTACCTCATAACTTACCTCTTCAGAACTAGGAGTATCAGGGGAGAGGGGACTCTTACCAGAACTCGTCATCTGAGATGTCTGCTCAAAACTGTCATCGTCAGCACTAGCCTCGTAGTCGCGAAGCAGCCTACCACGTAATGCATCTTGAGGGACTTCTGCACATTTGGTGGGCTCTGGTTGGCTTCCAAGTTTACTAGGTGGACCTAGTGATGATGGGAAGAGGGGGTGGCTTTTTTGCTCAACGGGGCTACTCTCTAAGGAGTCATGTGGCGGTGATTCCTTTGTTGGACTAGGTTCAATGGAGTCTGGAGACCTATGGGAGGAGTTGTCTTCCATAAGAGGACTACCGTCTAGTGAGTCTCTATGGCTTATTGTCAATGATTCATCAGCTAATGGACTGAGACAATCTGAGTCTTGTTTTAAAATCAGTTCTAAGCTTTCTTTCTCCTGACAAGATGATCTATTGTGTGAACTCACAAAAGATGGCAAAGCTAATTGGGGGTCAGGGCTATCATCATCACTAAGAAAACTTTCTACAGTCTCTGAAATTCTTTTTGTTAGCTTTTGTGGCTTTGATGGCTTGGACTCACTTGTAGTGTGGGCATCGGCTGCCTCCGTGGAAGATACAGGTAGGGTAAGTTCTGTAGGTAGTTGGTGAACTGTGGCCACTCTACCAGAGTCTCCAGACTTCTCTGTGTCCTTACTTTGTTTTGGGGCTGTTGTGGAAGTTGCTGATGTTACTGTCTCCTGTCCAGTTTTGGGAGACAAACTCTCAGGGCTTGTTCCTGGTGTGGCTAGACCCTCGTGTTTGTAGCTTTCCTCCGAACTTAAGTGAGGGGTTCCATCTCCAGAACTTGCACTAAGTGATTCTGCAACAGCCTCATGTTTAAGGCTGTCAGGGCTGTCATCAAAGCCACCGTTCCCAAAGTCTACCATTTCGCTTGGCTTTGAATGCACAGGAGCAGCAGCTTCCGCATCTTTGATAGCATCCGTCGGAGCTGTCTCTTTTTTAGATGGTTTGGAATCCATGGAGACTTCTCGCTCTGACGGAGTTACTGCTTTTTTAGTGTCGGATTTTGCAGTTTTCTCTGATTTTGATGTTTTTAGCTCAAAAAGCCCAGACTTTCTTTTTGAGGGATCCTGCCCCGTTTGGAACGCTTGCATCAGCTCTTTAACTGACATTGTTTCCTCAAGTTTTTCAGGTTCTGCTTTAGGTGATTTGGAGGGGGCTTGTTTTCCTTTAGGGCTTTCTTTGGCTTTTGTCAAAGATTTTCCTGCAATAGGCAGTTGAGAAGGCTTGGTTCCAGTGCCCTTTTTGCTCTTTTGCTCTGCTTCTACTTTCTGTTGTAAAGCTTTGACTTTGTCTTTAATTGACCCAATTGGAGTTTCTTCAATAACTGGGGAGACCGGAGAAGCTGGGGTTCGGGCTGCTGGAACACCTAGGAGGGTACCTGTCTCTTTTGTTTCCTCTCCCTGATCTTTTCCCTTTTTTCTGAATGGTTTCTTAACATCACCAGTAGTTTTTTCATGCCCTTTGCTTGGAGAAGCTGCTTTTGCACTTTTGCGCAGTACAACATCAGTAAACCTTTCTTGGTTGGCTGATTCTTTCTTAGCCTTCATTTTAGGAACTGCTGGTGCATCCAAGAGGTATTCTTTAAGATCGCCACTGTCCTTGATGCCTTTAGGTCTTGGGGAGCCTCTATTGGTTCTGATTTCCCTTAAGACAGGTTCTTGATTTTCTGAAGCTGTCATTGCTTTGGCTTCTTCTATCTCAGTGTCTGAAAGAAAAACCCATTCTTCTGACATCCTTGCTAATTTTGCTGGTTCTTCTGCCACCTCACCCTCATAGGTACCACTTCTCAGTATTTCACTGACTTTTTCTAGGTCCTCTTTTACTTTCTCTAAGTCTTTCTCCATTATTTCTAAGGGTTCCCCAGAAATGTCCTCAGTGCCCTTTTCCAGACCACATCCTCCTAAGGAAGGGGACTTCACTGTAGAGTCAGCAGTCAAAATGGCAGTCATCTTGATCAAATCTTGTTTCATTTCTGACACGTCAGATAGGAGGTCTGGCTCCCGAATCAGCTCTGTTTTCAGGGCTGATGATCCCGTCTCTTCATCTTCCATACGGAAGAAGAACAAGTAAGGAGTAAATAAAATCAAAAAATCAAATGAAAGGGGATAGACAGTGGAAAGAGGTCAGGACAAGATTGGAATACACTGCAGGGATAATAGGTCAAAAGATTCACAATGGGTTCTTCATTAGGGCAATAATGAAATAGGGTGTATCACTTCATGTCTCTAGGAAAAATAATAATAAATGTGGGAAAAGATATGAGCAGGAAATAACTTGCTTGAATACTCATCACTTTCACACTCAAAAGACAGAACAATAAAACAAAGCTAACATATATGAAAGCTATACCGACAAGGACAGTGTGCAACACAAAGACAACAGTGTGAAACAAACATGTACAATAAAAAAGGAAACAACAAATAAAGAAAGAGGCATCTCAAGATTGCTCAAAAGTATGGCAAAATCAAACAAAAAAAAACTACCCATGATTCTATCTGAGAAAGCCAGTGATAAACAATAACATTCGTAAAAGCAGTATTTCCCAACCTTTTCAGAGTCATTGCACATATTTAACATTAGAGAAAATAAATATATAAAATGAAATACAATTATCTTCTAGTTTCAATTTCTCACTCAGTATTAAACCCTGGCCAGTTTATCCAAAAATAGTTACATCGAAGGCAACTGGACGGACGGAGGTTTCTTGAAGACGTTTCACCTCTCACCCAAGAGGCTTCTTCAGTTCGGAAGAAGTTCTGAAGAAGCCTCTTGGATGAGAGGTGACATGTCTTAAAGAAACCTACTACAGTTGCCCTTGAATTAACTATTTTTTGGACAAGATGAACTGGATGACTGAGAACCTACACAGACCTGGCCAGTTTAGTTAAACACGACCTTGATGTGCTTGAAGGAATTGAAGAAAGACCCACACAAAGACCTTTAACAGCTCTGTGTCTCTGTATCAGTCAACTGTCAACTGTTGCCAGCTAGTGGAAGTGTGTAATTATTTAAATATTATTTAATTATTCTGGATTTCGCTATCTTACTAACAGACAAGAAATAATTTATAGTAAATTTATAGTAAACAGTGGTTGGGAGTCACTGCTTAAATGAAATAATTTGACAGAGTATTTTTCCTACTGCAAAGCAGAGTTTAAAGAGTGTGATGAATGCATAAGGAACTACAAAGTGCTATTAAGCAGCGAGGGGAATATCCTAATTCCCCTAACTTCAAGTAAAAATAAAATGAACACAAAAGAGGAAAAAAAAAAGCTCAAGTAAAAATAAAATGAACACAAAAGTGGAAAAAAAAGGTAAGTTGTAAGTTGCGGTTATGAGGAAATAAAAGCAAAGAAGAGAAGGCTAGCACTACCGAGCCATAACACACAGACATACAGACACACAAGCACACGCATACACATGTAAGTAAGGCAAGTTATTTCCATGCAAAGAAAAAGGGAAGGTGCGGGGGAGGGGTGAGTGGATTCAGAAAAGGTTTGGGAGCAGTAATTGAAATGTAATTTCGCGATTTATCAATATCGAGTATCAATATCATATAAAATATACAAAAATGTCAACCTTGGTCTGTATCTAAGGTCCATCCAATTAAATGGGTTTCAATTTTAAAAGAACAATGTGGGCAATTTGTGTATAGTTAATCTTAACATCACTACCTGTTCAAGGTAAAGAAAGGGGCTGTGTCGTTGGGGAAGATTTGCGATATCATTAGCCTAGAAGACTAGTAGGTGGGATTCTAGTTCAGTGGCCTCTAATTTTCTGCAGCTGCAAAAACCATTCTCAAATGTCAATTCTATATGGAAGTAGGCAACAATTATTATGCCTTTAAAACTTTTTTTTTAAATGCTTATATTTATTTTAAGGTCAAAAACATTGTAGTCTTTTTTTGTTTTGTTCTACACTGATGACTACCTATTATTGATGCACGCCAATAATAGGTAGTCATCAGTGTAGATCTGAGGTTCGATTTCTTGGATAGCGAAATGAGAAAAGATTCATTTCTATGGCAGTGTAAGTTTTTAGCCTGAATGTCTGAATTGTTAAAGTACTCACACGCATTTGTTACTTAACTTTCCCTTGGTCCATGTTGGAGGAATTACAATGGTATAACCCAATTCATTGTGTACCACCTGCCAGTCTTTTCAATCAGTGCAGATTTTAGAGGCCACTGTTGCATTAACATCACAACAGCATGAAGTATTGTTATGTTTGTGTACATACGTAGATGGTGGTGTTTTAAGTTTTCCCTATCTGTCCGATCTCAAATGATGAAATGGAAAATGTTATAATAGATGAGGGATTATGGAGTGGGTTAAAACAAATTTTTTAAAAAAGCCCTGAGAAATAAACAGATCATTGACATGGGATTGGTGTTTGAATGACAAGACATATAGTTGAAGCTTAAAGGACTTCTCTAAAACCCTAGTAAGTTATGTTTAGCAAAGTTAGCCTTGGATGCATGAAAGGTTAGATACCACTACTTTGTTATTATTGACTAGTTAACTAAGGGCATATACTTGCACACAAAAATAAAATAGAAAAGTTGGTCTCAGTGCATGCAGTATTATAACAGCGCAGTCAAGAACATTAGTAAATATTATAGCGAAAAGAAGAGAGAAAAAACAGTCTTACCTTTTTCTTGCATTCGGTTGGTCTGGAAAAAGAAACAAGAGGAAAGGAATCACAATCAGTCTTCTTTCCTAAGCTGCATATGTTTTATTAAAAACTTCTATTTAAGGTAAAGATCGTATGTGATGTGTAAGGAAGAATATTGTTATTAAAAGAAAATGTTTCAAATAGTTTGCCTCAAACTCAAAACAAATATTCAGAAAATTATGTTTTCCAGAAAAAAAAACTCAAAATAAATAATAAATCAGGAAATATGTCACTCAGATAAACTCAAAAACTACTCAAATTTATTATAAAAAAAAAATCCTCAGAAAAACAGAATAATTCATTACAAAAACAGAAAGTCACTTTAATTTATTTTTATTTTATTTTATAAACTGGTTGTTTTGGGTTGTTTTTTTAAGTAGATAAATAAATAGCTAAAAAGCAAAAAAAATATTATGAAAATAAATTACCTAGACAAATGGAAATATTATTTTGAAAAAATCAATTACTTAGACAAACAAGTCGAAAAAATAATTTCCTCAGAAAGAAAATACTCAAAAATAGTCCAAATAAAAGGTTGTGAGGTTGGACTATAGGCTTGTGAGAAAAAAATTAATTATTTTTTTGCACTACATTTTCTATATTAAGCATTTGTGGTGCAACAGTGGAAAGGGAACAGATGCAGAGCTGGTGAGTGGAAAGGAGGCTGGGGAGCAGAGACTGAGTTTTTTTTTTTACCTCTTCCTCTTGGTCTGAATCAGATTCCTTTAGGGAGCAAGAAGCAGCAAGAAGCAGAGAGATGGACAGATAGAAAGAGACACGTTAACGGGAGAGAAAGACAAAGGGACATAGAGGTGTTACCGTGGCAATGAAGACAACAAGTCAGTATGATTTTAGGGAAAGTCAAAGCAGAATTGAATCCTCACATTTATATGTAGTAATACTGCCGTGGAACATTATTGGGTTTTACATAGGAAACACCAAATGAGAAAATGAATGAAGGCATACACAGTATGGCCTGGCTTACAAGCACAGGAGCAAGTAGAAGAATCAAGAGATACTCACTCTGCAATATGATGGGAGAGTGATGTTGAGGTTACATATGGCTGTTTGGGCAAGTGACCTGTAGTTTCTCGGTTCTTTCATGAAGGACAGTCGACCACATGGATCCTGAGTGTTGTCTCTGATCTGATGAACAAAAACATTCCGGTAGCAAAAGGTGAAAAAATATATTTTTTTATCTGTAAAATGTTTTTGTATCTAGTACTAGTCTGTGGACTTGTAGTTTTTAAGTTAGTAATTAAGGATGTAAGGTTATTTGGATATATACTTCAGAAAACAGCAATTGATAAGTGTTATTTTTTCCTTTCCTTGGATCCTCTTTATGTCATTATTTAAAAAAAAATCTTTAATAATTATAATAGTAAATGGCATTTGAGCAAACATATTAGATAAAATATAATTATCTCTCTATTAACTGAGAATCATAACAGAAATGATAGGAAAAGTAGAAAAGGTGAGCTTTATTTAAATATATATATTAATCTGCAACCTAATAAAAAAATTGCTTTTGACTCCTGACCCACAACTTGAGAAACACTGGTTTAAAGTGCTGTTGCTTACTTTGATGAAAAGTGCCAGTCGATTCTCCTTGAAGGCGAAGAAGCTGAAGAGATGGTGCTGGCCACTTTTGGTGAGTGGAACCAGGTTCCCGAAGCACTCTGCATAGATAGGTTTCCCTTCTAGGACCTGAAGGGGGATCAGAATAATGACGTTGGTAACAAATAAATAAATAAACACAACTTCTGGAATATAAAAACTTGTTTTTTAAATATTTTTTGCTATATAAAAAACAGAATTGCTATATATTTCTTGCTATATAAATTATTATTATGTTGTATATAAAAAAAATTTGGTGTATGTATTTACTGCAAAGTATTTGGTACTTTTTTTACCACGTTGCTACTTACCACAAGTAGCTTCTTGCAATTGTGATTACATGTTAACAATTATTTGTTATAATTTCTATATAATCTGTTATTACCTGTTATCTGTGATACAAAATAAGATAATTTGCCAAAAATGTTAGCCCAACGAAATGTTATCCTTATGACTTACCTATGACATATTCTAATGACATACTATTCTTCTTACGCTATGACCTACTATGACTGTACTTTTTTGTTATAGTGAGCTTTATTTAAATATATATATTAATCTGCAACCTAATAAAAAAATTGCTTTTGACTCCTGACCCACAACTTGAGAAACACTGGTTTAAAGTGCTGTTGCTTACTTTGATGAAAAGTGCCAGTCGATTCTCCTTGAAGGCGAAGAAGCTGAAGAGATGGTGCTGGCCACTTTTGGTGAGTGGAACCAGGTTCCCGAAGCACTCTGCATAGATAGGTTTCCCTTCTAGGACCTGAAGGGGGATCAGAATAATGACGTTGGTAACAAATAAATAAATAAACACAACTTCTGGAATATAAAAACTTGTTTTTTAAATATTTTTTGCTATATAAAAAACAGAATTGCTATTGCTCACCTCTACATCTCTGCTGCGAGCCACCTCGGTGAAGTTCTCCTGCTGCTCCAGGGTTTTGTCAATTTTATCGTCAGTCATGCAGAAGCAGCGCAGACGAGCCTCGATAGGATCGTGGGTCTTGGCAAAGATGACAAACTTGGCCATGTAGGGAACACAAATGATCTCCCGGTAGATCTGAGTGGAGAAGGCCACCGACTCTTGGACTTGCCGACAGTCGATGAGCCAGAACCTAGAAATCAGACGTGAAAGTCATTATTTAACAACCGTTGCTTTAACACTGCTGCGACATGTGCGTTACGGCACGTCAAGTCTGAGTTACCTTGCAGACACGTTGGTGGTGAATGAAACACAGTCATTGGTAAAGGTTAAAGGAGTGGTGCCTGTTATATCCTCCCACTGGGCTGGTGTGGTTCCACCTGCATATGGACAGACAACACATAAATGACATTTTACCGTAATTTCTGGACTATAAGCCCCTACTTTTTTCACATGCTTTCAACCCTGCGGCTTAAACAGCGATGCGGCTAATTTCTGTATTTTTACGGGCTAACGGAGTTCATACTACTAGCGATCAATGACTTTTCTGGTAGGCTACCGTGTGTTATACTAGTAGCCTATGTCTGTCTGTGCTGATAATAAAGACCCCAACTTCCCCAGAGCTAATGCTAATGCTCACTAAGTCTCCCTTGTGCATTCCAACTACGGTTGGGGCTCTGAAGCAGGAAAGAGCTAACGTGTAACCAGCTGTATTACAAACACTGTTCAGAAAAATAAATATCCCATGTTACCGCCTGCTGCCAATAAATGTATTGTTATTTTTTCCTTTTTAAATTTAGTGGGTGCGGCCTATATTCAGGTGCGCACTATAGTCCGGAAGTAACGATAATTTTTTAAAACTTATTTTACCAGGAATAACCCCATTGAGATACATAACCTTTTTTTGGATTTTGTTGATAGTAGTTCCAGTTAAAACAAAACACAAATACAGCGAATGTCCTGTGACTATTACTTCCAAGGAATCTTCTATTGGGTTCCTGAATCCTATTCCATCAAAGGTATACTAAATCTAGTATTTTCAGAAAGGATCACTGTAATCAATTAATATAAAGAGTCTCTCTGCATCAAAGGTATACTAAATCTAGTATTTCCAGAAAGGACCACTGTAATCAATTAATATGAGTCTATCTATATTCACACTTTCTCTAACCTGTGATACTGCAGAGCAGTCGTAATGTGGGCGTGTCCCCTCCAAAACCGTTCAGGGCTGGGTCGGAGTTGCTCTTCGGAACAGGGATGGTCATGGTGATGGGTTTATGGAACTTTCTTCTGCGGGGCTCCAGGGTGACGATGGGACTGAAGGTGGCCCTGTTACCCAAGAGCTTCCTCGCTACATCGATATTAACAGGCTGGGCCTGGAAGAGGTAAGTCGCCACACAATTTTACCTTGCGTTGTCATTTTAGAGGGCACAAAAAAACTTTCATTGTACTTGCATTTTTTTTGTTTTTTTTTTACATAAATATGCACACAATATGAGCATTAAATATAAATAACTTGTATCAAGTATTTTTTGACCACTGATATTTTAAATCAATTGCATTAAACCTGTTATGTATCAGAATAATATTTTCATATTAGGAAAATACAGCTTGTATGATAAAGTATTTCAGCCAATTTTGAGTTTCAAAAAAGGTTGTGTAATATATTACTACACATGTGATGCTATTTTAATGAAACTCTATGCAGATGATTCCCGACTTCCCTCATTCTTTGATTGACATTGACTGACAAAACACTTCAGGAACGTTTGTATTACCTTTAAATTACCTTTAGGTTTTTACAGTCCTTTTCATAAATTCAAAGTTTGAATTTAAAAAAAAAAAAACACCATTTTCAAATATATTTGGTATCTCAGCACTCAATTAAAAAAGTAAACATCAATAATGCTACACATCAGGATCACACACAGGTTTCTTGGTCTGCAAGTAACCATTAGATGACCAGATTAAAATGATTGAAAAAAAAAGAAACTTTATGAATCAGTACAGTGCGTGTTTATGAATTTTTGCCAAATACCTGCAGTCCTACTCTGATCCTCTTAGTGAGCGCTCCTTCGGGAAAAACTGCCTGCACTTGGGGCACCACTGTGCTGCTGAGGATTCCTCCCTCCGGACCAATCAAATTACTGTCCTGCTTGATGCGCGAGACCACCGCAAAGTACTGCGGGAAATCCCTGGTAATGATGCGACAAATACGCCTCTTCTCCAGCTCCTCCGGTGGGTCCAACTCTGAAGGACGACAGTTGATAACAGAGGGTTACAGGTGACAAAGGTTCTGAAGACTTCACTGGTGAACAAACAGACGGACCTTCATCCATGCCGTTGAGTATCTGGTTGAGTTCCTCCTGGGTGTGTTCACAGTGATGCTCTTTCCAACTTTCTCCAGTCTCGCTGCGCAGTATCACCAGTTCCCTCTCTTTGCCTCGCAGTGCAGCGAAGTGAGGGATTTCCACGATCACAGGACTGGAAGCAAAGGGCAAAACTAATGGTCACAAGGAACAACAGCATTTTTAGCCACACATTTACACCACAGGAAATAAAAACCTCATTAGTGACTTGTTGGACAACTTCACTGGAAAATACTAGGTTTTTACCTGATAAAAACATACAATGGAATTTCTATGATTATTAAGATTTTTGCGCAGTTGTCATTGCCAATCATATCAATTAATGGCGTAAAAAAGCATTGTTGTATTTATTTTCTTTTTTCTTTCTTAATAGCATAATAGTGTTTGCACACTTTCAATCAATCTAATTAATATGGTTAATAGTATGGTGTAATACAGCAAATAACTATTGCAGGTTTGGAATGTCCATTTGAATTACCCGGTCCATTATTGGCTACAATCTACTTTGTATTCAATGTCAATAGACAAATGTCATTGTCTTTGTGCAACGTAACCAAACAATTTAGCTGAGCTGCGTTTGAAAAGTGATGAAAAAGTTCAATTTCTCTCTACTGTGCCCACGTAGAATTTGCATAGCTTGTCACTTTCTGTGCGGAGGGCCTTGTAAGCATTGTCCTCCGGAGCTTTGCACAGTTAGCTTTTCTGCTAAGGTTCCTCAGCGTAACACTACGCAATGCCTACTTTAGCAGATAGCTGTCACGCCGGAGAGGAAAACAATAATCAGCATTTTCAAAGAACTAAAGGACACTCACACATTTCTTCGTAAAAACAAGTGAGGCAATACTGCACGGACTGCTCGGATAGAAGTTGTTTAAATTCTAATATCTGTCAGTCTGAGACTTTTATTTGATGTACTCACCAAAGACAATACATTTATGGTATTTTGTTGAACTTACCTGATAGTTGAAGCACAACAACAACAAGAACAACAACAATACATATCTACTGTACGCACAACATTCATGCTTCACTGGGATGCTATGGTCCATCATAAGACAAGGACAGTTACTACAGCGGATTGGCTAATCTACTTGTGTGATACTCAGATAGTTATTGTGCCCAGCTGTGTAGAATTATTACTGTTAAAAATATGATTAACCATTTCATAGTTATTGTGCCCAGCTGTGTAGAATTTTTACTGTTAAAAATATCAAAATGATGTTTAAACATTTCCGTTCTCAATATACTGTAGATATTCAGAGTACGACTGGTTCGAATCACCATCCAAACATACACATACTTGTACTACTATATCACTGAAGTGTACTTTATTACTCATAGGCCAAACAACTCTTCAGAGTCCACACAAGATGCAAAAAAAAAAAAAAAATACTGTGGCAAAGGGGAAGAAATGTAAAGGAATAAAAGGAAAAAGCACAAGCAGCGAAGCCGATCACAGCAAATGTCTTTGTGGTAACAGAACAGAACAGGAGGATGCAGGAGAATATGACAAGAATGACAACACAATACAGAGGACTGTGGAGGGGAACAGAACTGTTTCGTATGACGGCTTTTTTTTTTCACCCTACCCGAGGAATTTTGTACCCGGTGGGCCGAGCTGGAGGATTCTACTAACCAAACTCTCCCCCTCATTTAAAGGTGGAGGGGCAGTAGGGAGGTGGAGTTTACTGTATGTTTGACCAAGCATCCGTAAGCAGCAGTGAGGAAAAAAGAGCAAAGACAAGGTTTTTGGTTGGGATTTAAGAACGTTAGAGTTATAATCACTGAGATTATAACTAGAAATTTCTAGTTTATAGAGGGAAAAAATTTGAAAAATACCGAATGGAAAAATACATTTTCTAAATTAGTGTGGCATTAAGTGGATTTAAAATTTGGAACTTAATTTAAATTTGTTTTTGGTCTTTAATAAATTGAGTTGGAATTATTTGTACCCAAGTCTAGCATTATTTTTGGGACATTAGCCTGCATATGCAAATGTCATGAAATTCTTCTTATTTAAAAGATAATGTCAATTCTGTAAAATAAAATCCTATTTAGAGGAAAATGTATGATAAATCCCAACACAATGGAGTGTTGTTTTTCTTCAGCCGGAATACTACACAATTAAAATACTCCTTTCTCAAACATGATATATTTTTTCTAACAAATTCCAACTCTAGTCATGCTTTATCTTCTCTTTCGCTCTAAACAGGAAATCAATTTACAACCTAGGATCTTGCTATTTGCGAAGAACAAGAACATACTATATTTTTTTAATTCCAAACCAATTTTTATGATAAATACATTAAAATGTATTTAGGGTAACTTGCAACTGTAAAAGAGCACAGTAAAATATTACGGTAAAAATTGCTAAAAGCTGACAGATTCAACATATCAAATCCATCATTCTGCCACACGGTGGAAGTGCAGTTATTTAGGAAGGCTTTATCATTACAGGTTAGAGACTGGAGTTAGACTGCAGCTGATACCAACAGAAATAGGACATGCTGCAGAGCAAATAGTAATAAATCCCTGGCGATGGGAGAAAGCAGGAGCAGATACAGAAACAGTTTTAGTAAGGCAGAGGCAGGAGGAAATCAACTGCAAAAATGGTTGCAAATTGTAAGCTTCTTATTACACATGTTGAGCTCAGCCAAAAGCCCGAGGAGAGATATTAGCACCTCTTTTTTTCCGTCTAACTAGACATATCATTTATACTATCGGAGCTTTTTGTTGAAGCTAACCTTGAATTTTGCACTTAATCTGACAGTGAAGGTGAGGTTGGACTACTGTACATGTGTGGACATTAGAGACTCAGTCAGAGAGAGGACAGTACTGTGTGGTACTCCTTACACTAAATATGAAAAGTTAACAGAGCATATACCGTAATTACTGTACTATTGACCGCACCTGAATATAAGCCTCACCCGCTAAATTTAAAAAGACATGTTTTCTTACATATATAGTCCACACTTCTCTACATTTGCTTTCTTTCATTGGCGTTGTATTTTTGGGAACTCTACCACTGTGTACAGTATGTCCATTGGCGTTGTATTTTTGGGAACTCTACAACTGTGTACAGTATGTCCATTTTTACAGCAAAAATCGAGTAATGCCTCACCTCAGGAATGAAATTTGACGTAATTGAAAGACCCCCTGTAATGGTTGCTATCTTTTAAACTTCTAAAAGAAAGGCTAAAAAAATTAACTAATTAATTAATTTTAGCAATTTTGATGTTCAAATTTACAGTTGGAGGCAAGAGTGGAAAGGTTGGTGCTGTTTTTCCCCTACATAGAATGATGACAAAGTGTTCTAACAGGAAGATTTAGACATTTATCTTTAGATTAGTTACCAGTTAGTAGCACAAACTAATGCTTAAAATTGTTAATGACTTCAGACAGCTTCTGTCAATATATTTGCCTTCTCTTCCTCTCATTACACGGTACATTACCATTCATGGCCTTACCCGAGAAACTGAGCTCCTGACGGCCCCACCTCGATGATCCTGCTGGCCAGGCCTTCTCCCTCCACCATGGGAGGCATTGTAGCCAAACGGTGCCTCTTCACCAGTCGACACGTGACCCGCGTAGGCGCGCTACAGTTCTTTGGTGGGATGATGATGCGAAGGCCATTTTGTCGACAGCCCCTCATGGCTCCGCCCCGAGCATCCACCATGAAGCTGACCAGAAAACTGCGTTGACAGAAAAAAACGTGTTTGCACGGAAATAGGGGAAAATAATAATAAAAAAAAACATCATGTCCTTGATAGGACGAGAAAGAAGACACCAAAAGACACTAATATTCCAAAATGTCCCTTATTATATCAGATTACTTATTTCTAAGTTTGTGGGAGACAGGGGTCTGAAACTCCTGGGTCAGGGGTCATTTCCCGCCCACAAGGACCCCATAGCTGGCCTGTGACAAAATTTTTATTTTTTTAGCAATTATTCTTAATTGTTTTTTGTATTAACTATTCAAATGGATGTTGCCATTTGGACTGTAGTATTATACAATATTCTTATTCATCAAAATGATTTTTTTTTTTAAATATCGCGTTTATTTACAAATCCAGTTGATTTGAAGTTTTTATGCCTTAAAAGGTGTAAAAATCCAACTTCTATTCAAAATGACCACTGAGGAAGAATTGTATGACTAATTTTTTTAATTTTTTTATCTTATTTAATTTGAATTAAGTGATAATGTTATGTAATTCACATATTTTTTTGGCCCCAGTCATGTTTTGGTGTCTGTTTTCTCACACAGAGAGCCGACAGCGTCACAAACCTCACAACAGTGTGTGTTACATTCTTACACGTCACAGCTTCGGACTCCTTGATTGTCAGTCACATGCACAGTGGCAAAAAAACACAATGCACACGGCTCATACATCTGAATGGAGGGAGGGGTTGGGGGTGTGAGTGTGATGAGTTTACGCTGGGGTGTGGCGTCACACCAACCACTGTGCTCGAACAGAGTGAATGTAATGATTAAGAACGCGTGAAAACAAACACGTAAACAAGACGAGAGCCATTGGGTGAATCCAGAAACACACACACAGTAATTGTGGATGGATGACCAAGAGTGTCAAGGTTGTAGTGTTTGACGTTGTGGGCTACAGCTGTTGCTTCTCAAAGTGCGGGGCGGGCTCCACTGATGGGGAACAGAGACACGAGAAGCGGGACATTCTCAAGGTTGCAGTTTTTTTAACTTTGATATTTGACATTTTTGATTTAGATTCATTATAAAATATGATAATGCTTGGTGTTAGTTGAATAAATTTGAAATGCAATTTGTCAAGAGTGTTGTTGGGGGCGACAGAGGGCGACAGGGGGCAGGTAGAGCTTGAATGGGACATTCTCAAGGTTGCAGTTTTTTTTAACTTCGATATTTGATATTTTTGATTTGGATTCATTATAAATATGACGTTGCTTAGGGTTAGTTCAATAAATTTAAAATGCAATTTGTCAAGAGTTTTGTTGGGGGCGACAGGGGGCAGGAAGAGCTTGAAAATACCCACTTGTTCCAAGTAGGGAATGAGCAAAAAAGCTTGAGAACCACTGGGCTACAGCAAAATCGGACGAAATGTCCGACACGGCTCAAATAATAATATCAATATTCGTCAAAGACTTTAAGAAGTTCCTCTCAAAGCGAAACCTGAAGTCCAATTAGCGCTAATTTTGCCATTTAAAACAGGAGGGGAAAAAACTGGGCTGAGAGCCAATCAGAGCAAAGTTCGTTACTGAGAAGGCAGGACATTCAAACCGAGATCCAATCAAAGTGAACAGTAAACTAAGTACATATATATATATACACATATATACATATATATATATATATATAGTATATAAACTCTAAACTTATATTTTGATGTATTTGGGGACAATTATATATATATATACTGTACATATATATATATAAAATTCTATTTGTTTAGTTTTATTCCACAAAGTATGGTATTAATCGGGCAGTGTCAGTTAGAAGAAGACCAACAACAACACACACACAAACACCTCTCCAGCAGGAGAGCACACTGTTGGGGGGAGGAAGTAAAAGATGAGGATGGGGGAGGAGGTGGGGTGGGGGGGTTGGAGGTAGGGGAGAGTGATGTAACCAAGGTGCAGAAGGTCACCTGCTGTGGTCTCCATGATCAAGGCACGGAGAGGAGCGGCTAAAACAACCACACCAGACAGAGAGGAATCACAGGTCAACCTCAGGCAAGTGAGAGGAGGAGGGCGCCAGAGAGTACAGTAAACTTTTCATATGAGTGGGTTTAAATTGTGTAACTTCTTCTCTAAAATAAATAGGGCAGACTGATGTTTATATTGGTCTTAAAGGTGGGCAGTGAGTAAGTTTCTCTGACTGCATAAAAACTGCCTCCATGTAAAAAAGAAAGAGAAAAATACAGTCCACTGAAAGGATCTAATATTATTTAGATGATAATTATAATTATTATAAAGATTAAAATTACCCTTTGTGACCTGCAGGTAGAACATTTTTTGTAATCTGTGATGCCAGATGTTTAATCCCTTTGAATTCTGTAACAATCCTCTGGGTTATTTACGAGCCAGAAACCAAAAGCACATAAAATATATTGAATTTTTTTTTTTTTATGTCATCACACGAAAACTTGCAAATGCCTCCACAGAGATGGAGACCCCAGACCGGAGATTACGATCAGAAACTTGTGAAACTTGTGTAAAACTTCTTCTTTCACCTTGATATTTGACTACAACAACTCGTGGTTCTTGTAGAAAAATGTCAACCAGTGACAAAAACGGATTTAAATTATTAAGATTTGATCACGTTAATATGCACTATAGCCTGGGTTTTGATTGACTGACTCCAAACATCTCTCTCTGTAGCCACATATTTTCTTTTTGGGGACTTTTATAATAACATTTCCTGCTGGTGATTTATAATCTGGACATTTTCTCAGTACCTACCCAGAGTGGATCGGACTGGAGGATAGAGCCACATTGTCCAGGTTCTCTGTTCCCCAGCTCAGTCTGTATGAATCCCTCTCATTTTCTCTGGTCAGCGACGACAACTAAAACAGTATATAAAGCACTTGTTTGACCATTATAAGAAATTATAATCACTTCTTTACGAAATTAGCACAGTTGAGCTTACGTTCGCACAAGTTAAGTTATAATGAATAGTAATATTTGTTGTGTAAATCCACTGCTCGTCAGAGTTGTACCTGGTGGCTGGTGAGCATCTCCTCCATCATGCCTTCGTGTTTGGGTGAGTAGAAGCTTTGGTGAGTGGGCGTGAACGACCTGTCTGAACTGCAGTGAATAAAGAAGGAGGAAAATCAGTGAGGATTGTATTTCCCGGTCGCTCAGAGAGAGAGAGAGAGAGATTCAGTGGAAAGCAGCAAAGCCAAGCTATGTGTTCAGGAATACAGGGGAAAAATTAAAACAACTATCAAAGGATGTGTAGTCAAAGTATTCTACCGCTATCTATACACTTATATATACATACTGTAAATACACATTTATGGAAGTTAGAACTGTATTAGTGCAGTGGTTCAGATGTAGAATTTAGTTTGAATAAAGCAGAAAAGTAAAAAAAAGAACATGATTTTTAAAGCTATTTTGCTGCCGATTTATTTGTAAAAGTGAAAAATGTAAAAAGGGTAGCAAACTTTATCTTTATTAAGTATATTGTATATGTATGGATGACTAGATTTTGCCGCCCTAACTCACCCAAATAACAATTTCAACAATTCCCCTTATAAGGATTCTCAAATCTAACATACGTCTGTTTCCCAAAGTGGGGAGCGGGTCCTTTCTAGGGGGCATGAAGCTATTACAGGGAGGATGCAGCAGGGTAAATTAATTTGAATTTGGGCTTTTTTTTCATTGATTAGTAATTTCAATGGCTCTGAATGTGTTGATATGTGGGGGTTGACAACAGCACTATCTTCAACGGGTTGATAGTGATAGTGAACCATTGACACACTTGAAACAATATACAACATATTATAATACTACTATTTCATTCATTTACTATGAATGTAAATATTAAATCTAAATATGTAAATATTACATTATATGTTTTAACAATAACTGAAGGCTACAGCTCTTCTATAGGTACTAGGTATGGTAATAGTGAGGCAGCAACACGAAAAAAACTTTCATATCTTTATGCCTAAGGACTTTCAAGGTTCCACGCCTGCATAAACAAACATGCACTACTGCCTCACTCGTTGCGTGCTAACAAGTTCCATTTATGCTTAAATAAGGTCTAGTGCTGTTATATGTGCAGCCAATGCAATGACAAATTACACTATAGGTTATACTAGGAAACCAGCATGGGGACCAGCTACTTTCAGCATGCACAGGTGACAGCTACAGTGTCAGCTATGATACTGTGAATGACCTAAGTGGACGTGCGACGTACGAGTTGATCTTAGCGGTAATTTACAGTCTATGGTCATGCACATACCTTTGCATTCGACTATGAAGGCAAGACAAGGAAGACCAACGGTGAAGTATGAGCAGGAGAGGTTTGAACGACACATAAATACACACACACACACACACATACACAAGATAAACAAGATGTTAGTGATTTAGTTAATAGGACAGTTTTATCAGTGGTCAGAAAAACACAGAAATATTAACATAAAACCATTCACGAAATCAGAAGTGGTTAGAACATTTGCGATACAGCGAGGAGGTTTGATATAGCCATGGAAAAATATCCAATTTCACCTAATCAAGCTGAAAGCTGTTGTTTATTTAGTGCAAAGAATTTTTTTCATCTATGCGACAGTGACTGGAAGAACAATATACTCTTCCACAAGGTGGCAGCACATGGCTATAATGAAATAAAATGAAATAGGAACGACTTGCAGCTGTTGAAGAAAATCTTGTCTTTTGTGTCTTTTCTTCAATTCCTGTGAGTATATCAGTATTGTGTTCAACTAAAAAGGCCCAGGTTTCACACGTTGAAACGAACATAGCGTTATATTACATTACATATAGTGATGTAAAATCTGTTACTGCGGCTCAAAAAAAGGTTAGGAACCAACAGTTGGGACTCTTCTGTAGTTGTTGTGTTTTGAGTTTGCGTGTTATCTGTATGTGGGGGCTTCCTTCCAGTCCAAAACCCTACAGACTGAAAAGTAGATTGACTGGACCCCTAATTTACCATGGAAATGAATGAGAGAGTAAATTATTTTTCCATCGGCAAAGGGCTGACAAATTTTCCACAGTGCAGACCCTTGGCCAGAGACCGTTGGAATTGGTTTGAGCCCCCCGGGTTCACAAGATCACAGTAAGCGGTAGAAAATGAATGGAAAGATTTGACCTCCGTTTGTTTGTTTGTTTGTTTAAGGACTGTTTGCAGAGAAGCAGCTAAGTGCTGGTGTTGAAAACAAACCTGTCAGTACGGCCTCCCTCCAGACTAAAGCGGAGGTAGTTCATTCCGTCCAGATACTGCCCAGGAAGTGAGTCGTCTCCGAGTTCCCTGAGGTCCTCGGGCCTCAGATACTCGCCTCCGTCTCCTGTCATTGTATCGTCACCTTAGCAGAGCAGACATAACAACAGGGGTGAATTCTTAAATGCAAAAAATAAAAAATAAAAAAAATAAACATGCTTGTTAAAAAGACACAGTATGTCTGGGTACTAATCAGACACGTGTACTGATCGTGTGTATGTGTTTGCACACTGCAGGTTCGGAGTACTGGATGTTAAATTCAGTTCAAGAGCAAAATCTGGACCAAAACACACTTAGAATGAAAACATATTGAATGTTTTTAGCATTCTAGCACTCACTATGAATGAACACCTCACTTTAGACCAGTGGTTCTCAATTATTTTCTGTCATAAAATGTTTTCACCCCCCGACCCACACCTCCCCATTCAAGCATTACAGTAGTGGTACACTTGCTGTATATCCAGTGTGGCATTTCTCATTGAAAGCCCCTCATGCCCCCCCAGACAACACTCCGCACCCCCCTAGGGGTGACCGCCCCACTATTTGAGAAGTAGTGCCTTTGAGCCTGGAGCTTGTGACAAAATATACAATGAAATATTTGTTAATTTATGCAAAGTTGAACAGATTTTTTGATCTTTTTTCTTTACTACTTTTAGTGATTTTCTAGGCTCTATACAACCTTTTCAAGTCCAATACTGATACTGCATGCGATACTTTCTTTTCTCCTTTCGCATGCTATGGGCTGCTGTTGCTGGGATGATAGTGTCCCTGTTTACGGAATGCTGCTTCTCTCAAATGACCACATCCTGGACCACTTTAACGTTGTGTCTGGGCCACATGTGGCCCTCGGACCACTCTTTGAATGGGCACAGGCTGTAGACCTTTGACTTCTGGCATGCATTACTGTTTGTAAAATAGCATTTAACACAAACCATTCTATAAATGAACACCAAAGTAAAATCCCAATAGAGCTAATTTAAAGTAGGATGTCGTCTTTTAGTGGGAATGCTCACTTGTCACTGTGTCGCCGCACAGAAAAAGTACATAAAGAAACATTGTGAGTAATCACATTACTTTGTAAATTAAACAGCACATCATCCAATTAAAAATACAATTTTAGCTTTGGATATTAGCCGATAATCACACAATCCAGGTTGTTGAATCAGAGACTTTTTAATGAAATCAAACCACAGCACTAAGGTTCTGATTACCTTACATGAGTGTATGTCAGCAGTTAGTGTTGTTGTGACTAAGACTGACGACCTTCACAGTGCATAATAACTTAGGTTAAAATCAGCACAGCAAGTCCTCACACACAACTCCAGCACCAGTTACCTTCCTCATCCATCAGCTCACCCGACAGAACATCATCTTCATCAATGTTTTTCAGTGCTGAGGGTGGACAGTGCAGTCATATTTTCTTTAAGAGCAAAAATACTATTTGGCTTCTCTTTCCACTGCTCGCATATTTATCTAACCCAGCAGTTTTTTCCTTGAAAATGTCTGCCCCCTGCTGGACTTGTACTCTTCATTGCATTGATTCTGACCCATCGTGGCACAGTTCATTAGTGTGCTGTGAGAGATCATCAGGTGTGCCATGGGAAATTATACAATTACACTTAAGTGGTCTAAAACCTATTATGTATTTACTGCAGGAGGTAATGCTAGGTGGAATCAGATGGCTATGAAAAACTAAAAAAAGAGAAACTGTTGAAGATTTTCATGTGTCTTTCTTTCATTTCTGCTGGTATATCTGGGCTGTGTTCAACTAAACAGGCCAAGGTTTCACACGGAGTAAATACATTGTGAGTACATTTAAACTAGTTGTTCATTACATTATTTTATACCACTTTTTTTTTACAGAAACGATTCAAAAACTTCTACCTGCTTCATAGGTAGATAAAAAAAAGTAAGTTCAAAAGTAGGAAGTGGTTGTAAACCATGGGATTTGACTCAAAAATAGTTGAAAAAAAAAAAAAACGTATCCTGCAAATGTCTGCTTTTACAGAAATCAAGTTGACTCAAAAATAGTTGAAAAAAAAAATGTATCCTGAAATTGTCTGCTTTTACAGAAATCAAATTGGAGCTAATTTTGTGTCACATTCAATTGCTAGCTTGTTGCTAACAAAACAACATAATGTCACTGTCCTCTTCTACTTAAAGTCAGTTTTAATTTTAGTAGCACTGCAGGTACAGTAGTAGGAGCAATGTTGACATATGTTTATTTCAATATATTTCTGAAATATGTTTATGTGTGTATATGTACAGTACTTTAAACATGTAAACCGCGCCGTTGACTTCATTTGAAAGGTTGAAATGCTTGTATGGCTCCTGATGAATTCTTATTTAGTGGCAAAATGATATGCTGCTGCATGGTTGGTGGTTTATAGATATTTAAAGACACAAAAAAAAAAACTTACCCTCTTCATCAGAGACGTCCAGAACTTCAGTCATGGTCTCTGGCACGTTCAGCTTGTGTTTCTCTGTCACCGTCTAGTTTAATAGAAACATTATAACAATATAATCAATTTTGACATGTTTTTTTTCCGTTGTTATTAGCACTCATAAGGGAGTTTTTTAGAGGGCCGGAACTGATTAACTTTTTTTCCTTTATTTCTTATGGGAAAAAATGATACGAGCACATCGAGTTATGAGCGCAGTCCTGGAACGGATTATGGTCATATCTCAAGGTATTACTGTTTGTGTAGAAGTGTGTGTGGGTGACGTACTGTGGTGGTGGTGATGATCTCCTCCGTGACCACCCTCAGTGTGTCCACTACAGAGATATAACCCAATCTCCGAGCGATTCCCAGAGCCGTGTTTCCATTCTGAACACACACAGGAAACAGGAAAATTAAATGAATGTGAAATTATAGTATATAGTACAGTATACTTCATTATCTGTGTGGAAGAGGTCGTACATACCATAGTGACAGCATTGGGCTTGGCACCATGCTGTAGCAGAACATTAATGATGTGTGTGTTTCCTTGCTGGGCTGCCTGGTGAAGGGGCGTGTATCCATTCTGAGAGAGAACACATGCAACACCAACGTCAGAATGTTTCGATTTAATGATTGACAACAATCAACGTACTGTGCTAATCAATCAATCACAAATTCGTGCAAATGTGCTTTAAAATACTCCACTAATTATAGGAATGTTGTCAACTTTTATGCAGGTAAATTAAAAATGAATCAATTCAAAAAACACCAGCTGTGTTTTATTACTATATTACAGAGTGATTTAATAAAATGAGAATCTTGTTAAATATACATGTAAGCATGAAAAACCTGAAAACTAAACCGCTAACGAATGTAAAAGCGCCCTCTGTGGTGTCATATGTGCTGTATAGGACATCATTTAGATTACAAACTCACTCACTGACAAACTCAAATTCACACTGGGCTAAAAAATTAAAAACTGGGACGGCTAAACTTAATATTTATTGAAAAATTGATGGCGATTGTGCATGTTTTACCTTCTCTCCAGATACGTAATGTCGAATTATTTCATACAGAAACAAACTTTAGTTTTGCGCAAACATTGAATCTGGAACAACCAAAGCTTAATATTATAAAAACATGGGAAATTAAATTAGAAATAAGACACACATCAGTGGTATTTGTTTCTTATCGTGGTCTCTTTATATGTAGCCTTTCCAGTTCCTTTTTAATGTAAATCTTGTTTTCAGAGGCCAAAAACAACAAAAGAAATGTATGTGCTATAACATAGCACATAGACTACTGATACTACAAATCCTGCCAGTTTATAGGGGCTATGTACTGGCCGGCCAACTCTAGTACCCATTTGATATTATCACATGGGCCAAATATAATTATACCGTGGGCCAGATTTGGCCCCCGGGCCTGAGTTTCACACGTGTGGTTTAGATCATTTTAAATGTGATATTTTATTTACCAAACGCAATTAATACTGCTGCTACTTTCACTACTACTACTAAAACTAATAACAATAATAAAATATAATAATAACAATAATGAAAATACCAATCAGGAAAGCACTGATAATGAACAATTACTAGTACCAGATCCGATATTTCATTTGAATACTTTTCGTACACATTCATAAACAAAATACAGACATGAAGCTGTGTCACCTACTGTATATACAGTGACACTGCATTCTGGTGTATTGCATATTGCTTGAAACCCAACTTAAAGGGTCATGTACTGTATGGTACTCGGTATCAATAGTCCACAAATACTGGCAAGGCAAATACTCTTGTATCGTTTGTTTATACTGGCATTTGGACAACTCTATATTCAATAAAAATACCTTGGTCTTGGCGTTGACACTAGCTTCGTTCTTAAGCAGGAAGTTGACCATCTTGGCATTACCGTAGTGACAGGCGACAATCAGAGGGGTGTATCCCAACTGCCAGAAAATGATTCATTAGTAATAGAAAATATGACTGAATATTCTGGGCTGTTAAAAAAAACAAAAAACAAAGTGGTTAGAGCTCTAGAAAAAATGCGAGGCCGAGAGATTTCTATGGTCGTTCATACTTTGGTCTGCTGGTCCAGGTTGGCTCCGTTTTTTGCCAAGATCTCAGCCACCGCCACTTTGTCTTCCTGTGCTGCCAGATGGAGGGCAGTCAGGCCGCTCTGCATGACAAACACACAACATATTCCCTCCGTTACCAGCTGTTATATCAGTGAGCTCATAAATGATCATGAAAACAAAAAACCATGTCCATGTCTTTAACATGCGTAAATATGGGCTGTATACAGGATGTCCTCGACGGATTCCATTCCTACAGTGCGATGTAACTTCATTTTCACTGTAAGTTACAGTTGTACCTGTGTCACTAACCTATGCTAGCACAGTGGGGTAGCATCATATTCTTGGACAGACATGGGCAAACTAAGGCCCGGGGGACCGGATGTGGCCCGTTCCGCTTTGTAATCCGGCCCGCCAAACTTGTCCAAATTATATAAGTGGTTTGTAGTGGTTTGACTTTTCCCTGCCATGCCCACTTTGTCCCTACAGATGGCGTATATTTTATTCTTTTTGCATGACTTTTCTACAGTATGTCATTTATCTTGGTTCACACCAACGCTCCATCTATCTGCTCCTGACCCGGCCCCCGTGTCAAGTTTTAGAACCAAGTTTGCCCACGCCTGTTCTAGGACATAAAAACATAAGAACTGACTCTGACTTACACTTGGGAGCCATAATGAAAGGCAAAAGTACCCAATAAAGAAAGGAAAGAGAATGTAGAACAATCCAATATATAGCACACGACTGGCAAATATAAACAAAGTCGTTTTCCGTGTATTCATCTCCTGCACTCGCCAACTACTTCCTGTGCCAAAGGTTTTCAATGTCGTACATCAGATTAATGGATCAAGAGTTGCTTAATAAATTAACGGGAGACGGCGACATCTACGAAACGCCATAGGTCGAGGACAATGTAAACCAAGCACCTGTATCCTAAAGTGAATATAAAAAGATTTTAACTAATTAATAATCTTTTAAAATTAACAACCATGATCAAAAAAAAATGATTTTTTTCTTTTAACTAATTAATAATCTTTTAAAATAACAACCATGATCAAAAACACATTTTTTTTATTTTTGGAACATTTTTCCAAATTAATAATTCCATAATTTAGGTTAGTCAGAAATAAAATACAACCTTTTCAGAATGTTAATTAATTTCAATTATCTTTGGTTAATTATGATTCATTCTAATTAGTTGTGATTAACCTCTGGAGTCTACACTACTGTACCTTGTTGGGCACATTGACCTGGGCACCCTTGCTAACGAGCAGGGCAGCCATGTCAGCGTGACCCTCCTGGGAGGCCAAGTGGAGCGGAGTAACTCCCTGCTTGGTCAGTATGTTGGTCTCAGCGCCGTACTGCAACAACACGTTGGCGATTTCCATCTGATTCTTCTTAGCGGCGATGTGAAGCGGCGTGTAGCCGTTCTGATTTTTGAAGACAGAAAATTAACTTGTGCTTTTTTTTCCATCAACATTATCAACAAATATTTGATGGAAGATTTTTTTTTTTCAGGCTCATCAGTGACTGCAGGGTCTCACCTTCGCCATGGCGTGCGGGGACGCTCCCTTGTCCAAGAGCAGGAGCGCCACACTCTGGTTATCGTAATGTGCTGCAACATGGAGAGGCGTGAGGCCGTTCTGTGATGGGAATAAAGTGATTTAAACGACAAGCAATTAAGATAGACAAATAGATAGCTAGATAGATAGATGGATGGATGGATGGATGATAGATGGATAGATGGCTGGATGGATAGATAGATAGATGATAGATAGATGGATGGATGATGGACGGATAGATGGATGGATGGATGGATGTATGGCTAGATAGATAGATGCTAGATAGATGGATGGATGGATAGATGGATGGATAGATGGATGGATGGATGGATGTATGGCTAGATAGATAGATGCTAGATAGATGGATGGATGGATGATAGATGGATAGATGGCTGGATAGATAGATAGATAGATGGATGGATGATGGATGGATGATAGATAGATAGATAGATAGATAGACAAGTTTAATATTGTGTTAACTGGAATGACTGCAGGTAAATATGAAACTCATAAACTAATATTAGACAGAAAAAGCTGGAAGGATCAGGTTTTTAATACAGAAAAGTGTTGGGACTTTAGTTACATTTTTTAGGGATAAACCAGAGTTAATCCAAACAAAGGAAGATGTGGTTTTTTTAAGTCTAAATTAATCTAAACTCACCAGAACTCTTGAAGGCAACTTAACCTCAATACAAAAACAAAGATATTTGACATTTCAACTAACAGAATCTATAAGAAAGCCAAGTACATTCAGCCTGAAAAGCTGCTCACACACGACAAATTCATGGAAGTTTAAAAAGTGACTGGAGTTGATTATTTACCTTCCCAGCAGAATCGGGAGGAGCGGAGCGCTGCAGCAGGAGTTTGGTCACATCCAGGCTTCCGTATTTTGAAGCTACATGTAAAGGAGTGAAGCCTTTCTGTTGAGAAAAAAAACAGAACATTTGTGTAAAGAGTTTGAAAGTGGAACATCAACAAATCGAATCATTCAACCCTGCTTTTTGTTTGTGACATGTTTGTTAGATATAAAGTTTAAAAAACACTTCGGAGAATTTTTAAAACATGAAAATATAAAACTCAACATAAGTAATTTTGATATTTTATCAAAATTAAAACAAAAATTTAAAAAAACTAAGACCAAGACTAGATGTCAAAATAAACACTTGAAGCAGAGAAATGCAGCAATTTTAAGGGAAATCCACTTCACAATACCACCAGCAGAGGGAGCGATTCAACTGTTCAATATGCTGAATCAGGTTGGTGCTGACGAAAACCACGTGACCAGTGTGCGTGGCTGTTTATAGAGCAAGTGGCTCTTCGTTTTTATGTCTTAGGATTCTGAGGGGAGGCATACTTAAACCAGAAACAATTAAAAATAATTAAATATTCAAAGGAGGAAGAATAATCACAACCTCAAGGTGTACACAACGATAAAACAAATGCAGTATATCACTGCAGTAAAATCATGTGAATACTTGGATGACAACGTGCCCCGATAACGGTCACACCCAGAGACACGGCACGCCTCTTTACCTCCCTTTTCATATTAAACCATAGCAAATAATAGGTTTATGTAAACACCTACAGTGCAGTACAGCAAAGTACTGGTACACACCTCCACAGTGATGACGTTACATCAGCTGATTGCATCACCAAATGCACCAGTCACAGTAAAAGCAGCAGTGTTAGCTTTTTATGAAAATGGGTTTTCAAGGCAGACATCTGCAGGTTCTGTTCTTTCCGTATCTAAATATACCATACATTTTAAAGGTACAGTTTGCATGCTATCCTTAGGTGGCACTGTTGCAACCCTTTGGGATGCAGAGCTGCTGCCCAAAGAAGAACCAATTGTAGCAAATGTTAGCAGGCTTAGCTAACCTACTCTAGCCTAGAAAGAGTACAACTACAATGTTTTTGACATAAAACGACTACTCTAGCCTAGAAAGAGTACAACTAAAATGTTTTTGACATAAAATGATTTAGTTTAAGTTTTTAATAAAATGCCAGAAATTACTTGTAACATTTTCAAATAGTTGTTTTGTTTCAAATGAAGAGTCAATGTCATGTTTATGGCTGGCAATGTAGAGCTCCAACAAACAGCTGGCTAGCTTACTCTTTCTTCTTCTTTGAGCTGTATGTAATGTTTTCACTAAGTTACAATATTAAATTTGTGTGAAAAAAAATTTAACACTTAACTGAAGCGCAGAACAGTTCTCAACATTGCTCGCAGGGCAGATAGTGGAGCTACATGCTAGGTGTTGACCTACACCAAATTAAAGAACAAAACTGACAGAGTTCCTTGTGGGACCTGCCTGGCCCACAAATATAGACCACATCTCAGATGGGTTATACTTAGTTGAAAACGCAAAGGAATTGTATTTTTAGTGGTTTTGTAGGAATTCCAGTGCTTTAAATAAGGTTTCGTGACTGTCAAAAGTTTTGCGAGTCCCAAGTTAGCCAGGCTAACTGAACAAAGTTATGTCTATGTTATGTCTTCTGCGGGCATTATTAACCTTGTGGGCCAGGTTTTATACATTTCAATATTTTAAACTAAATGTTTTTAATTGGTTGGTGACTTTTTTTTTTTTTTACTTATTTTTCCATCCTCTACTACCTAGTGATAAAACTAGTTCGCAATATTCCCTAAGATTAATAAAAAAAATTCTAATTATGCTCGTGGGGGAGGAAGGATGGCTGTTTAATTTTAGGTCTCTAAAAACCTCTTATACTAACTTCTTTAAAAAATGCCATCATCTGATCAATAAGTGAATCATGTACCTTGGTGGCGAGTGAATGTGAAGCCCCGGCCTCCAGAAGCACAGAGGCCGTCTCCACCTGCCCCTCCCTGGCTGAGATGTGAAGGGGAGTGTAGCCATTGGTGGTGGCAGCGTCAGGATGGGCCATGTGCTGCAGCAGCAGCTGAATGATCTCTGTTTTTCCCAGACGTGACGCAATGTGAAGAGGAGTCTGGTCCTCCTACACACACCGCAGTGGAAAGACAATGAAGGCATTGTATTCAAATGATGGTAGTTTCATTTATATCGTAGAAAAAAACAAGACATAAATGCTGAGATTGACAGTCGTCTCACCCGAGCTCTGGCGTCCACCATCGCTCCGTTCCTCAGGAGACATCGAACTACTTCCACCTGACCTGCCCTGGCCGCCATGTGCAAGGCTGTTTCTCCGCGCTGGTCACATGGCAAAGAGGGTCAACGGCAGAAAAATCAATTCAGGAACATTTTTCATCATAACTGAATCAGCTTCAAAGTGACTCGTTATTTTTGACACGCTCCCGCCTTCGTCCACAAACGTTTCTCATTACTCACGATGTTGCTGACGTCAGGTGAGGCCCCGTTCTGCAGCAGCAGCAGGACGATGTTCAGGTGACCCATGAAGGCCGCCACGTGGATGGGAGTCAACCCCGACTAAGATACACGCAGGAAAAAAAAAAGTAAAATATTCATATGCAAAATTGAACCTAATGTGCTCTGGTAGTTTCTCATTAATATAATATTGTGCGTATTAAAAGGAAAGGGATTCCGCTGTGGAAACACATTGCATCAAACAACAAGAACATGTTTATAATCTTTTGCATGTAGATATAAACTCTTTCATTCAAACAACAAGAACATGTTTATAATCTTGTGAAATGTGAAACCAAAGGAGGCCATCTCTACTTTGGATACATGTAGATATAAAACCAAGCACCAGAGCTTGTACTATGGTGTCAAACGCCTTAAAGTTGACTCTTTCATGAAAATGCCTTGAACTGAACTGCACTGAAAGTTTATATATGTAAAAGTGCTTTTGGTTTTCTTTGGTATAAAAATAAACAGAAAAAAAGTTCAGTTAGTATTAAATAATACATAAGATGATAAAAATATTGCAGTCCTTTTCTATCCATCTTACCCATTCCATTTGTACACAGACATATGTTTAAACAGAGGTACACAAACAACACAGTAATTGCTTCATCTACCTATCTGCTCTGGAATGAAAAAAAATGATGTCTTTATCATTAAAATAAAAGTGACAATTTTATTGGCTGTTACTGTCTGAAAATGTCTAATAAGCAGTTCTAGTGAAAACTGTATTTTGTATACATATGTATTTATATATATATATTGTAAATATATTTTTTAACTTCAGAAAAGCATGATGGCGTTTAATAAATGTATAAAATTGTGTTTTATACATTTATACAAAATCATGCATTAGACTAAGACTTCCTTTATTTAACCAAATAATTGCTCAATTAGCCTTCCTTTCTATAATGAATATTTAACAAAAACAATATAGGACACCATGTGGGGCTAAATGAGGATGACAAAATGTATTTGAGCTTTTGTCAATGGGACAATGGGACATTTGAGAGAGAAAATGTCTCAAATTTAATCACAGCTCAATTCCTCATGCCAACAGGAGGAAAAATGAAGGGTGAATGAATGAATGAATCACAGTTACTGTATGTTGCTTATAATGTGGGACATATTAATCATTATTTATCACAATGAATTACAATTGAATGCAATTAATCGTGCTTAATCTGCAGTTACTCTGACTAAATTTCCTGAAGGGAACTCCTGATGGGATATATCTATCCATCCATCCATCCATCCATCTATCCATCTATCCATCCATCCATCCATCTATCCATCCATCTATCCGTCCATCCATCCACCCATCCATCCATCTATCCATCTATCCATCCATCCATCCATCCATCTATCCATCTATCCATCCATCCACCCATCCATCCATCTATCCATCTATCCATCCATCCACCCATCCATCTATCATCCATCCACCCATCCATCTATCATCCATCCACCCATCCATCTATCATCCATCCATCCATCCATCCATCTATCCATCCATCCATCCATCTGTCTAATCCCAATAAATATCTGAATTCGTTTGACAGTCCTGCATTAAACACATACCAAACCTCTAATAAATGCTTTCCGTGCGTTTCTCACCTCTGTGATGGCTTGGATAGAGGCGCCATATTTGACCAGCAGCTCCATCACCTTCACCCTGTTTTTCTTACAGGCTATGTGTAGTGGAGTGAAACCGTTCTGCATCAACAAAGACAGTGACGTTACACTTCTGATTAACCAAGCTACCAATTAATAACTTTCACATTCATTTTCCACCGTACCAGTGCCCTTGCGTTAGGATTTGCCCTCTTGTCCAGCAGCAGCTTGGTGACTCTATAGTGCCCGCAGTGCGCTGCCACGTGGAGCGCCGTCAGGTAGTCCAGCGTCACATCATCAACGGGCGCCATGTGCTGCAGCAAATGTTTGACGCATTCTACGTGATCTCCTTGCGCCGCCATGTGGAGAGGAGACAGTCCATTCTGTAAGTTGAAGAACGGTCGTTAAAGGTGAATGAGGGAAAGTGTCAGTGTGAAAAACAGAGCCTACGTTAAAAAAAAGAGCTGTAGCATTTGCAGTTAGTAGACAATTTGTTATGGAGTCACAGCATCGATAATTAACAATGGACTCTTGCGTCAGCCGGTGAATTCAATTTAAAGTCTTTGGAAGCAAGATACCGTATTTGTCGGACTAAATATCGTACTGAAGTAACAGAAGCTTCCGTGAAAAAATGTGCTGTTGAGAGAACATCGCAATGATCCAATAGTTAACATTTAGTCTTGAAAATTGCCACTCATTTACACAATAGCCTGAAAAAAAAAACCTAAATGTAGTACTTCCGCTACGTACGCTAACAAATCCAGTATGTTTCGAAATATATTCTTATTCTAACATATAACAATTTCGCCATCTGAAGAGGAAATCGGGCTGGGCTGTCGTCAGACTCACCATCAGCATTAGTTCCAATTATTAGTAACTTGTGGCCATAGATGGGATTAAATCAGCATTAGTTCCAATTATTAGTAACTAGGAGTGGCGTAACCATGTAGATGACGCCCTCTTGTGGCCATAGATGGGATAACAACAGCTAAAAAGCACAACTTATGGAGCAGAAAATATGAGAATAGCACAAAGTACACACCTTGGTCCTGGCCAGTAGGGGCGCTCCTCTTTCCAGCAGCAGCTCTACAGCTGTGTCGTGTCCACTGCGAGCAGCACAGTGGAGCGGAGTGAGACCATCCTGCAGCACAGACACGGAGAAACAAATCATATCAACGCAGGTGCCGAGAAAAAACAAATCATTTACCCCGATTAAATATTAGCAAAACACCAAACTGTTTTGATTTGCGGAACCAACAACCTTCCGATCATGGCACAACCTGCCTAGCCACAGCCGCACCACAGAGTGTTAACCTGTTGTTTTTGTTTTTCTCAAACTTGTGCTCCGAGATAAAACGGCTCAGTGGTTCATTAATGGATATTATTACAGCTCTCTTCAACTCAAGAATGATAGGAATATGAAGTAGAAAACCATAACGTTTTCAGGGTTGTTTTATTTTTTGCTGCTCGATCCTCACACTCACCCTTGTTTTTGCGTCAATCTGAGAGCCGCGGTCCAGTAACAGGCGAACCATGTTAGTGTTGCCACGTTTGGAAGCCACATGAAGAGGAATGATTCCATTCTGCAGACAGAGAAGTCAAGTGTCAAGTCAGTTTTATTTGTACAGCCCAGACTCCCAAAACACATTTGGCCTCAATGGCTGCTTATGATTTTTACATAAAAATTAAAATGACTAAAAATTAAATTAGTGTAATCATTTTAGTAATACATCGCAAAAATCTCCCACATATAAAACAAACTGAATCCTTTATTGAGAGAAACAACAAAGACTCCAGAAAATTGATCCCAAAATGGTGATTTTTACAAAAACTCACATATAAGTCGACCCTAATGTTTTCATTTTTTGCCCTGGTAAAACGTCTCACTCCTGCTGTGAGCTTCCACAAAGAATTAGAAAATGATCTTGGTAAACACTGTTTACGTTAAAATTGCGAAGATTTTGACAGTGTTTGTTGGGAAATTCAGAATAGACATGTGATTTTTTGCATTATTGTATATCATCATTAAATATCAGATGTAGAATTTATTTATAAGTGTAATATCTTTAACTTTGTGTTTATTATCGGTGATGTTGCGATCAATGGAAAATGCTGTCCCAGGTATTTATGCGCATATAAGCCCCAGTCTGATCTTTATTTTTTGGTGTTTTAAATTCGGCTAATAGGCGAGTATGTACGGTACTTTCACAATCACATCTGTAGTAGTAGGTAGGTCTAGTACTAGTAGGTCAAACTTTTTAAAGGAAATATATTCTGGTCCCAGAAACGTCCAAAGACCAAAACGTGGCCTTTAGTCTGATCTTTTGTGTCTCTTGTGTCGTCACCCGTTTAAAGAAGCGGACACTTGAAGTGTCCTTTTTTTTGTGTGTGTTCGCACTTAAGCCCACACACAATGACAATGCATAGCAGATAAAAGGGTAACCATGGAGCTGGTCTCTGGGGGGATTTGCAGGGACAGAAGTACAAAACACTAGGCCTGTAGCATTCTTACAAAGACTTTAATCAAGTCTAATCAAAAAAGTATGTTACAATTAATTAAAAACAAAATCATATTTCAGAACCCTAGGGAAGCACCGATATCTAGATCAGTATTAGGGCCAGATACGAGTTCAGTGTGTCATTATTCATGAGTACTTTTTTTTCAGTTTGTCAACATTGTCAGCGAGTTCAGTGTGTCATTATTCATGAGTAGTTTGTCAACATTGTCAGGAGTGAAAATAGTGTTTTTAATTGAAATGCACTATTGGTGAAAAAGCTCTGCTCACTTTCTGTCCAGTATGCGGAAAGTTCAATTTGAATCAATCCATTGTTAAAGTATTCTATTTCAACCTTATTTTAGGTTGATACATTATCTCACGTGACACCAGTGTCAGTTCAAAGACATTTTTGATCAAAACTGAAGTTTGTTTTCTTTTTGGAGTGATATCTATTAACGAAAAGGACATAAAAGCGGGTGTAAGCATTTTCCTTCTTGGTGTCCAAACTACGGTTTGTGTTGACACACTGCACTTCAACCTATCCCCCACAGAGCTGCGCCATCGATATAACACTGACTTCCACTTCCCTACCTAAAGAAACCTAAAGAAGTATCACTGACATTACTCAGTATTGGTAAGTGAAAGCGTAATGTGTAAAAGTGTAACTGATAATTTGTGTGTGTGTGTGTGTTTTCCTACTCTTGCAGTAAAGTCCACCGCCGCCCCCCGGCTCAGCAGGAGCGTTGCCACATTGACATTCCCATAGTGGGCAGCGATATGCAGCGGAGTGAATCCACTCTGCAAAACAGACGGAAAGGAACAGGAAGGACATGGGTCAGACATTCACGTTAATGATGCACAACTGGGCCTTTTGACCCTTGGTCTCAGGCCTTTGGTTTTCCCAACATGCAACAGTAGAACCAAGCACTACAGGTGAACCAAACACGATAAAACTGAAAAGAAGAAGACGTGATTGGATTGTTGGGAAAAGCTCCCAAAACACAGGACCTTAGAAAACATGTCACAACAGTTCCATGCAGAAATAATAAAGGATTTTTTTTTTAAGTTTACAAATCAAAATATGGTAAAACAGCAAACCCAAAGTCATAATCAACATCACTGACATTGAGATGGACATATAAGACTGTTGCCGAGAGATGGCAACAGAATATCAAATTATATTAAAAAAAAAGAAAGAAAGAAAAAAAAAAGACAGTACATTTCCCATCACCAAAGTGCACTATGTTATCTGTACACCGTACAGCATATTAGTACCATAGTAAAGAATGAGAAGAAACACGAGAGAAAAGTTAGAGCCTGCAGAGCAGGTTTGGAGTAGATGTGAAATTCTTGCCTTACCTTGCCATTCTGTAAGAGTGGTCCGATTTAATGTGAGAAAGTTGTTTACACAAGCGTGAACATACAGTGACTAACGTGATGGTTTCAAACTTTACACAGTCCAAAAGCTTAGCATGGTGCAAATTAAGTCTGCATGAATGCAACGTGCTGGCCACTGCCAGTTCACACATTAAATAGGTAGAACAAAAATACAGCACCAGGAGCTTCGCTTTTCACGTAGCCATTAGCAAGGTTTGTAGAATTGAAGGCAGAACTAGCAGCTTACAGTACATAGAAATACATGCATCTGACACAACTAACTGGGAAGCTGAGATGTTAAGAAGTCCAGGAATGACATTGAACGTTGAAAAAAACCCCAAAACATTTAATTTAATTTATTTAATATGTTAAAAGAAAACATGCTTAAAGTAAATAAAACAAAAACTTCATTCTTTGCTGTAATGAATGAAAGTCATTCTTAATTATAAAAAGTTCATTTTATGTTTAATCCTAATTTAAACATTATAGTCCTAAAAAACATTTGGTTTATTTATTTGTTTTGAAAGAAAAACTTGATTTAAACATTATAGTCCTAAAAAACATTAAGACAATTAACAACATTAAGACAATTAACATTAAATTGAATAAAAACAATTCTAAAATATAAAAAAGTTCTAACTTCAATTAAAAAAGAAAATGACTTGGGGAATAATAGCAAGTTGTATGTTATCCTACTGCAGTTCAGTGTCTGTCAGGACACGCCTTAGCGCTGATATGCTAATTTCTAGGCTCTAAATACTCAAAAGTCTAAGCGCCGAATACGCTAATGTCTTAGCACTAAATATGTTAATGCCTTTATACTGAATACTCTAATGCCTTACTCTATCAATGAACACGCTAATGTGTTAGCTCTGAATACACTAATGCCTTACTACAGTATATAAATAAACACGCTAATGTGTTAGCTCTGAATGCACTAATGCCTTAATACTAAATATGCTAATGTCTTAGCACTAACTACAGGAAGTGTCTTAAATTTAGAGATGCTTTCATGGCTAGACTGAGGTTGTTTTTTTTTACATATGATGCAACAATGTCTGACTGTCAGAAAGAGTGAAGTGAATATCCACACAAGTAGTCAGTCAACTTAAGTACATCTTTATGTACTGCAGTGCATTAGCAGATGCTGAGCCTTACCGTGTCTGAACACAAATCTACTTCAACTGAGATTCACTTTGAGGAGTTAGGGGACGCCATCTTTTTTTTTCAAGTTATTTTTAGGTATTGTTGTTGTTACTGTTGTTTTTATGTCTATTATTGACTCGTAATGAGAGAAAACATGAATAATTATAATGAACATGAATTTTGATAATAATGTTTTTTTGTTTGTTTTTTTAAAAACACAATGGGGTTTTTTTTCTAATGGCACTACTGGACTTCAATAAATGCATTTTATACTGCTGTTCCAAAAACATGCAGCCCATCAGCACCAGACAGACACACAGGACAGACACCATACATTTACAGCTGTTATTAAACATGCATGGCCAAAAATCCACTGAATAAAAAACAGGTAAAAAACATATTCATTTCAAATAGACTAATTAAACGGCTAGAAATATATTTAAAGATACTTTTACATGCGAGTCCCCAAATAATAAGTCAGTAAAAAAACCTTGAAATGAATGTGGAGGAAATTAAATAAATACAGACATGATGAAAAAGACAACCATATATCGTAACCAGGCTGTGGCAGCAGTGCCCATTCCTTCTAGCCATGCATGGTGGCCAATGATTGTACCCAACTGACGAAAAATGTGTAAAATTCTTCTTTTTTTTCTTTTTTTTTTCTTTTTTACTTTTTACAGCATGCAGTGGTGTGGAAGCGAAAGACATAATTTGTGGCAGAAAATAAAAAGTGTAAATAACAAAAGGAATGGGACTTCACAGTGAGTGTGTATACCTCAGTAGTCCTATTGACCATCATCTGTAGCAGGAGGAATGAGGGAGGGAGACATGGCTTCAGTTAGGAGGATATGCACACAGTGACAGGTGACGTGGCTGGAGGAGTGTCTCCAAAATAATGTTCCCTGCCACGGCAGGCAGGTTAAAGTATGACGATAAATTACTTATTTCTCCAAAATAATGTTCCCTGCCACGGCAAGCAGGTTAAAGTATGACGATTAAAAATGATTTATTATTACTTTAACGTCTGATGATCAATTTGAGTTGATTCTTTTGCCAAAAGTGTTAAAAATGATTACAATATTTGATGGAATTAAAGCAGCACCCAGGATAAGATATTTATTTTAGGGACGCACCGACACTGATACTGGTATCAGTATTGGCTCGATACTTCTAACCTTCATACTTGAAAGCTTGCTGATTTCAATCTTCTTTAACATCAGGGACAGATGAACACCTGGAGGAGCACATTTGCACTGAATACACTAATACCGGGGTTCACAACCCCTGGTCCGGGGACTGGTGCCGGTCCGTAGGTCATTTAGTACCCAGCCGCAGTAAGACACAATGAAAAAATGTACTTCAGTATAACTGATTAACTTCATTAAAAAAGAATCCAGTCGTATCTTTTTGCTTTTTTCATTAAAAGATAATCAATGTTTCAGACTCTGATACTAACAGAATAAAGTCTAAAAGATGTTTTATTTAGAAAATTTAAAACATGGAAATGCTACAAAATTTAAGCAATGTTTCTTTTACTGAGAAGCAGGAGAAAGTGTTTTTTTTTTTTTAACATTTTTTTAAAATTGAAATGTGCCAATGGGGTAAAACCTTTGCTCAATTTGTTGTTCTTTTCTACCATTTTTATTCATCTTATCCTTTGTTTTATATTGTTATTGTTATATTGTCCGATGTCACAGTAGTGTGAACTCCGTTTGAAACATTTTTTTTAAATACAGAAGTATTTGTTTCCTTTTTGACTGAAACTATTCTGCTGTTAATAAGAAGAAAATACAGTAAAATTGCTTATTAGCATTAGCTTGGTGTCTTTAGTGTGATGTCCTCAACATTTCCTACCTATATAATACACTTCTTTCCAGTTTAATAAACATCTGTTAAAAACCTTTATATTATATTATATAAGCATTAGCATATTATATTAGCAACGGTCTAATTACGGTCTAATTTTTTTTTTTTTATTTTGGAAATGAATGTGTTCCTG